TTTTTAAAAAAACCAAAAGATTCCATTTAATACTGATGTTAATACAAAATGTAATCAGATGCTAATGTCATGTTACCGTGTTCTTAAAGTCGTTAAAAAGGGGGAAAAAATGTAGGGTTTTATTTTCACCTTTCTTTTCCTAGCTGTCTTTTGTGTTCATGCTCAGTCACTTCAGCCATGTCTGTGACCCCATGCACTGTAGCCCACCAGGCTCCTCTGTCCATAGGCTTCTCCAGGCAAGAATACTGGAGTGGGTTGCCATGCCCTCCTCCAGGGGATTTTCCGGACCCTGGCATCAAACCCACATCTCTTATGTCTCCTGTGTTGGCAGGCAGGGTCTTTACCACTAGTACCACTTGGGAAGCCTTAGCTGTCTGTTAGGTAGAGATTTTTGGTCTGTTTACTTCTTATGTGTCAAAGAATTTGATTAGTCTTATGTACTTAAAATATCATTTTATCTTTTTCTTGCAGTTAAACTGCATAAGACCTAAAATAATCTGTTTCTATTTTTTCTTAAATTTATTTCTTTTTAATTAAGGGTAATTGCTTTACAGTACTGTGTTGGTTTTTGCCAATCAACATTTGAATCAGCCATAGGTATACCTAAAAAGAAAAATAGAGTAAGTTAGCACAGGATATGACTAAGTATAAGGCATGAGTAATTGACGAGGGGGGTTCACAGAAATGCCAGCTCTAAGTTCATTTCAGCTGAAACCGGAGGGTTCATGGTTTGAGAAGAGGTAGCTGGGGAAACACTCTGGCCTGCGTCAGCACAGTGAAGGAGGCAGGGTGAAGACCAAGGGCCTTGAGCGCGTCTACAGATGGCTGTCCCTGCTAAATCACACCGTGCATGGTGGAGGTCACTCCTGCATCTCACCAGTGTCTAAATCACCAGTGTCCAAGCGTAATTAATGCTTGTTTTTGGCAATCAAGCATTCACACAACAAATACTTATCTGGTATCAGCTTCAGCTCTGGCAGGGTGACTCAAGTCCCTGCCGGGGGGGCAAGGCAGAAGGGAGAAAGACCAGCTTCCCTGGTGCGCGGGGTGGGTGTCAGAGGGGAGACACTGACCCAAAGAGAGTAAAGCAATTGTCCGAAGCGACTGGAATTGCAGAGCTGAACTGAGAATCAACCCAGCTTTGCAACTTTGCAAACTCTTTAATGAACTCGATCTAAACACAGCTGGCAGTTCTTGTTCTGAACCACGTAAACTTCACCCTGCGGGAAACACCAAATTGAAGGGCCAGCTTTGCTCTTGGAGACCTGATTTCCAACTCTGCCTCAGTCACTAAATAGGTTTAATTTTCTTGTTAGGAAAAAAAAAAAATGGAAGTAACTGTCAAAGGGCTATTGTTGATGTGAAATTAGGCAACGGATATAAATTTGCTCCAGCAGTAAAAGGTGCTGTTAAAAGCGTGTGCTCTTATCATACACGTGGCACTCCCTCCTCTAACCAATAAACTGTATTCAGATCTCCACCCTTCTCCTTCCCCCAGCTTATCCCAGGCCTGGTTACTGAGTGCCCAGAAGCTAACTGTCATCTAGACTCCTCCCCTCAGGCCGCAGTGTGCTCACTCACGATCTTTTCCCTCTAGTTCTTTAACACACTCAGATGCTTAGCTGGCTGCCTAGAACCCATGTCATCTGCAGGGCAGGAGGAACACGGTTCTGGTACTTTTCGCCTGACGCCCCTCCCAGCCCACTTGCCCATCCCCAGGGCGCTGGGAGTTGCTTAGCAAGAGGCAGTGTGGTGGGGTGACCCAGCTTCAGCTCCTAAAACTGTTCCTTTCGGGGCCAGCTGTGCCAAGGATGTGTCAAGACACCCTGAGGATCAGTGGTCTGGGTCCTGGCCCCCTTCCGAGCCATATCGCCTCCTTTCCCACCTCCAGAGCACCCCCTTTACCTCTCTGGTTCTGTCTCTGCTATGGAGGAAGTTGGCGGACACAGCTCTGCTGGGGCGCCCAGGGGGCCTCTCTCTCTCTCTAGGGAGCAGAGGGAGGGGACAGAGGAGCAAGGGTTGTGGGAGGGGCAGGTGCATCTGGAGCTGGGAGGCCAGGGTGTGAGCCCTTAACACATGCGCCTCCTCAGGCCTCTGGCTCCTGTCCCTTGCATGTGCCACGTTAGCATCCTGCCCACCGGGAGGAGGGAACAGCGAGATGCCGTTTGAAGAAGAAATAAACCCAATCCAGCATCTCAGACGCTTTTAAAAATAGCAACTTGGGGATGGTGTTTCAGCTCCTATTTTTATCAGATTTATATGGCTGGACGCTCGAGCTGTGCGGTTCCCAGGGTTCTCAATAGCAGTGGACATCACTATTGTAGTCTTAGAAACCTGCTGCAAGGCCAAGGCTAAAATGCATTCCAGGAACCTGTCGGCTGGAAGAGATCCTGAGAAGTCATTGCACACAGCCCTTGTCTCTTTTGGGGCCACAATCAATGAGCCACAGAGTTTATGGCTCGCTTTTTGCCTTCAAGTCTAGGTTTCCATGACTTCAGTGCCCAGTCTAGGATTTCATGGCCTTCTAATCTGGAAGTCCTTTTTAATATCTAACCCAAATATATTGGCTGCATCCTTTAAGCCCTTCTGGCAGTAGGAAAATGGCAGCTAACATTTATGAGTTCTTACCATGTCCACAAAATCCTCTTATTGAATCCTCACAAAGCTCCTAGGGGTAAGCACTGCTTTCACTCACTCCTAGCTGATGAGCAGTTACCTAACTTGCCCAAGATCATATCTGGATATGGTGCAGGTTCTGTACAGGGGTCACCAGACCATGCTGGCTCTGAAAAGAATATACAATAGGACAGTAATACATTTCTCCGTAGTTTTGACTTTCAATTTCTTCCTGGTCCTGAAGGAAAAACTGGTCAGGGTGCTACTGGACATGCTGGAAGCCATGTTTTAGGTTCTGGCCACGCTGAGCCATGCTCTCCCTGAGTGTTCTGTTTTAGCTCATGGTGGTCGTTTAACTCTCATTTTAGCCTGGAAGTCTGGCTTCTGGCATAAGTGCCCACGGCCCCCTGTGCTTTTCTCAAAGTACTCACGTTTGTGGCATTACTTTGTAATTATGTCTATCTTTGTTGTTACAAATAGATTCAAGGGATTAGATCTGATAGACAGAGGGCCTGAAGAATTATGGATGGAGGTTTGTGACATTGTACAGGAGACAGGGAGCAAGATCACCCCCAAGAAAAAGAAATGCAAAAAGGCAAAATGATTGTCTGAGGAGGCCTTACAAATAGCTAAGAAAAGAAGAGAAGCAAAAGGCAGAGGAAAACAGGAAAGATATACCCATTTGCATGTAGAGCTCCAAAGAACAGCAAGGAGAGCTAAGAAAGCCTTCCTCAGTGATCAGTGCAAAGAAATAGAGGAAAACAATAGAAAAGGAAAGACTAGAAATCTATTCAAGAAAATTAGACATACCAAGGGTATCATGCAAAGATGGACACAATAAAGGACAGAAATGGTATGGACCTAACAGAAGCAGAAGATATTTAGAAGTGGCAAGGATACACAGAACAATACAAAAAAAGATCTTCATGACCCAGATAACCACAGATGTGATTAAACACCCCCACCCCGACACACTCACCATCGATAATCATGATGGTGTCATCACTCACCTAGATTCAGACATCCTGGAATGCGAAGTCAAGTGGGCCTTAGGAAGCATCACTACAAACAAAGCTAGTGGAGGTGATGGAATTCCAGTTGAGCTATTTCAAATCCTAAAAGATGATGTTGTGAAAGTGCTGCACTCAATATGCCAGCAAATTTGGAAAACTCAGCAGTGGCCACAGGACTAGAAAAGGTCAGTTTTCACTCCAATCCCAAAGAAGGGCAACGCCAAACAATGTTCAAACTACTGCACAATTGCACTCATCTCACATGCTAGCAAAGTAATGCTCAAAATTCTCCAAGCCAGGTTTCAATAGTACGTGAACCGTGAACTTCCAGATGTTCAAGCTGGATTTAGAAAAGGCAGAGGAACCAGAGATCAAATTGCCAACATCCGCTGGATCACTGAAAAAGCAAGAGAGTTCCAGAAAAGCATCTACTTATGCTTTACTGACTATGCCAAAGCCTTTGACTGTGTGGATCACAACAAACTGTGGAAAATTCTTCAAGAGATGGGAATACCAGATCACCTGACCTGCCTCCTGAGAAATCTGTATGCAAGTCAAGAAGCAACAGTTAGAACCAGACAGAGAACAACAGACTGGTTCCAAATCGGGAAAGGAGTACATCAAGGCTGTATACTGTCATCCGGTTTATTTAACTTATATGCAGAATACATCATGCGAAATGCCGGACTGGATGAAGCACAAGTTAGAATCAAGATTTCCGGGAGAAATATCAATAACTTCAGATACACAGATGACACCACCCTTATGGCAGAAAGCAAAGAAGAACTAAAGAGTCTCTTGATGAAAGTGAAAGAGGAGAGTGAAAATAGTGGCTTAAAGCTCAACATTCAAAAAACTAAGATCATGGCATCTGCTCCCATCACTTCATGGCAAATAGATGGGGAAACAATGGAAACAGTACGAGACTTTATTTTTCTGGGCTCCAAAATCACTGCAGATGGTGACTGCAGCCATGAAATTAAAAGACACTTGCTCCTTGGAAGAAAAGTTATGACCAACCTAGGCAGCACTTTAAAAAGCAGAGACATTACTTTACCAACAAAGGTCCATCTAGTCAAAGCATTGATTTTTCCATAGTAGTCAGGTATGGATGTGAGAGCTGGACTATAAAGAAAGCTGAGCGCCAAAGAATTGATGCTTTTGAACTGTGGTGTTGGAGAAGTCTCTTGGGAGTCCCTTGGACTGCAAGGAGATCCAACCAGTCCATCCTAAAGGTCCAGAATATTCATTGGAAGGACTGATGCTGAAGCTGAAACTCCAATACTTCGGGCGTCTGATGCATAGAACTGACTCACTGGAAAAGACCCCGATTCTAGGAAGATTGAAAGCGGGAGAAGGGGAAGACAGAGGATGAGATGGATGGATGGCATCACCGACTCGATGGACATGAGTCTGAGTAAGCTCGAGGAACTGGTGATGGACAGGGAGGCCTGGCAGGCTGCAGTCCAGGGGGTCACAGAGTCAGACACTGACTGAGTGACTTAACTGAGCTGTTTGTGGAATTACTTTGTAATTATGGCTATCATTGTTGTCTAGTTGCTAAATTGTGTCCAACTCTTTGTGATCCCATGGACTGTTGTTGCTGGCCAGTCTCCTCTGTCCATGGGATTTTTCAGGCAAGAATCCTGAGGTGGGTTGCCATTTCCTTCTCCAGGGTATCTTCCTGACCCAGGGATCAAACCCAAGTCTTTACCACTGTGCCATCAGGGAAGCCCTATTATGTCTATGTGTCTCACTAAGTTGTAAGCTCAATAAGATTTCTTTTTCTTTAAAAAAAAAAAAGAGGGTAGATGTTCAAAACCTCATTCTTTGAATTTAAACACTTTAAACAAATTTAGTCCATGTTTATTTTTTAACAGTGGCTAAAATTTGGTAACTTCAAGTTTACATAGACTTCAGAATCCAATGTAATTTCAATGAGAATATGGAGCGAACATAGGGTTGCCAACATTTATTTTGTTATGTGAGGATTTTCTGAAAACTGCTACTGTTAATCATCACCATCTTCTTACAAAAGAAAGGTCCTTTTAGGGTTCTATATACATGTTTGGAATAAAGATTTAGTCCTTCTGAGAAGGAAGAGTTAAAAGACCCACATCAACCTATTCAGAAATAAAACAGATCCATTAAACTTGTTTGGAAGTACAAATATCACAAGAGAAACATTTTCACGTTACTTTGTTCGCAACTGTTTCTTGATTTGTTTCTCCATTCTGGGGATCTGTGTTCAACAGAACCAGGCAACGTGGAACTAACTGTCCAACTCCTCCTGAAATGTTATTTTTCTCATTTTCATGAAGGAATGTTGACAAATATAGAACACTCAGCAATTTTGCCCTATGAGGAAACTTTTGGGCAAACTAGAGGAGCCGAGGAAAAGCAGTCACGTCTCCAACCTCTCTCCTCCCTCCCCAACCCAGCCAGGAAGAAAGTCAGCCAAGGACGGGGGCCAGGCACCGGTGGGGAGCCCTCCGAAGTTTACGAGGTGACACCCACCTCCGCTGCAGGAGAGGAGACACTCACCGAGGACACGCAGCTAAACGCACAGGGACAGACGTCCATGCCGTCCGAGAGGCCTGGCGGTGGCTCATCAGTCAAGCGGTGCTGAGGCTTAAGCACTTTTTGCTCAGGATGCTGTCTCAGGGGAGGTGGGGAGCTGGGTGAGTTCTGCTAAGTGAAGGCAGGAGGAAAGCTAAGGCAGAGGAGAAGATGGTTCTCATTCTGCATCCCTCAGGCTGAGGACTGTCGGTCTGCCCCCTAGCCTGGGAGCTTCTTTATAGTCGTCTCTGGATTCCCAGCCCTTAGGACATCGTCTGGCTCAAAAGGCATGCAGTGAGTCAACGCTTTGGACTCCATTGCAACCGTGCCACTTTGGCCTGCTGCGTGTACGATCACCAGCAGATCCCTCTGTGGTGGATCCTCATCCCTGTCCCCCTTGACAAAGACCCAGGCTCAGGAGGCCTGGGGTCTGGTGAAGTGCGTGTTTAATCAGCAGCGTGAGGAACGAGTGACTCGAGCTGGGCTGTGAATCGGGCCTCCTGGTTCTCTGTCCAGGGTACACAGAGTAAGAGCCACCCCGCGTCCTGTGCCTCCGTTTTCATCCTCCTCTCACTCTGCAAGACCCACATCCTCCCTCCCCTGGCCGTGTGTCCTGCGGGAGCAAGATGTGGTAACTCAGAGCCCCATGTTGACCAAAGAGCAAATGCCGGCCCCTCTCGGGCAGCGTGATCCCAGCCTGTCCCCTGGGCTGGGAAGATGGCCTCGTGGGTTTAACTACATGTCGCCAATGTCTGCACCCGTGTCCCTGCTCGGCTGGACCAGTGGGAGATGTCACTTTCCCAGATAAGCCCTTGATGGCTTCCTACAGGCTATCAGCCTTGAGCGCTTTGAAGTCCCTTCCTGGCCTGACAATTCTGTGGTCAGGGCCCTAGGACAGCGGTCACACCTGGACCCCAGGACTCAGGGGTTTGGACTTCACTGCAGCCATGCCACTGTGCCATGCTGAGACACTGGATTTATCTTCTGGCTGCTCTCCGGCAGTGTGTTTTGTCTTCCTGTCCAGACAACGAACTCAAGGCCACAGATTCACTGACCAAGGAACAGAGGCAAAGGCGGGCATCTTGAGCTTGCATCACCTGATTCTGATTAAGGCCCTCCCACTTCCAGGAGACCAGCCTCCAGCCCTGTCAACAAGAGTTTATCAACAGGACCGGCTCCCACATGGGAAGTGTGAGTTAAGTGCTGGGGAGGGAAAGAGGAAGTGCAGTCAGAAAGACTATACATTATTTCCAAAAAAAACTTTGTATGTGGTTTATTCTTGGGCGGGGGGTGGGGGTGGGGGGACCTCCCAGACATGTGGACTATCAGGAAGAAACACTAAGTGGGAAGAAGAGAAAGGTGGTAGCAGGACAGCAAGGAGTGAAGTCAGCCAGGAGGGGACCTGCAGAAAGCCCCGAGCCCTCTAGGTTGGCCGTGCCCACCCCTCCTCACCCCGCTAGGGTCTGCCCTCTCCACCTGCCCAGGCCACGCTGTGGGTCCATACTGAATGATACCGATGGTTTATTCTCATGTTGGGAAGAAGCCAGTACAAAATACATTACAAAAAAAAAATTCCCTTGGTGCTAAAAACCCTGGTGCCCCCCACCCCCCACAAGGATGGTCTCGTCTCAGCTTCTCTGGGCCTCCTGCAGGAGTGCCAGGAGGGGGTCGTCAGCCCGGAGCGCAAAGGTGAGCGTGCGACGCCGGTAGTGCTCGGGATCCTGCTCCAGGTTGTCGATCACCTCCGCCAGCAGGTGGGCCCGCTCCACGCCGGCGCCCGGGGCCTCGAAGCCCAGGGCGGTGAAGTGCACGTGCAGGTGGTAGTAGGAGGGCAGGTAGTGCAGGTACACGCGGAGGCGGTCCGCCGCCACCCGGTAGCGCCGCAGGATGGCCTCCTGGCGAGAAGCGGGGGCGGGAGCGTCAGCCAGAACCCCCCTGCTGCCCACAGCCCCCACCAGCCTCTCTGTCGCCCCACGGGTGGCTTCGGGACCCCTGTCTTCCATTCTAGGGAGCCAGCAGGTGAAGGTGACAAGCAGCGTGGTGGAGGTTTTCTTCCCAAGGAAGGGGATGGTGGCCTCGATCAGGGCTCCCCGCTCCAACCTGGTAGAACACCCGCTTCCTCGGTCGCCACTGGGTCTCTAGGAAGTCTCAGTGCTAAGGACTGGGGCCCGGATTCCCAAGCCTGGGGGACTTGCCTGCCCTGGAGGAGTTACCAGACTTAAATCATCAAATGGGTGGCAGGAAGCCTTTTTCTCCTGCTCAGCACAGAACAGAGTGGAGCAGGGATGCAGCAGAGCTAAGGGCTTGGTTGCAGAGAAAGGTCGGGGGAGGGGACGCAGGATTCTCGCTGGACTTCCCGGGGAAGAGGAAAGCATCACACTTGGCCCCGGCTCCCTTGGCCCACCCCAGCCTTGCATGGTGGTAGAGCTTTTTCTCCTCCAACCGCCTTCAGGAGCCTCCAAGCCTCTCGGAATTAAGAGATTTAATTTCCAATGTAGGCCAATCCCTGAGGCGGCAGGGGTGAAGAAAGACAGGGCCCCAGTGGGCTCAGAACACACGCTGGGATTGTATTGTGCTCTGCTGATCGGTGCACCCCTAGGGATCTGGGCACCCAGGCTTCCTGGAGGGCTGGCCCGCCTGAGAGAGGGCGCTGGAATTGCCAGGGCAGATGCAAGTGCTGGCCTGACACCTCCCAGGGGCCCCGCATCCAGAGAAAAGAGAAAGGCAGCCAGGGACATGTGGGGTGAGCAGGTGGGTGGGAAAGCAGGTGGGCACAGTGGGGAGGGGGCCAGAGGGGAAGGAGAGTGGCCCCAGGCAGAGCCCTGCCCCCAGGTCCTGGCAGAGCCTCGGAGCAGGGCTTGTTGAACCTCAGCCAGGGGGAGCCTCTCCCCTGCTGGAAACCTTGGTGACAGCAGGCCTGGCATGGAGGTTGCACCATCCAATGTCTCAGAGTGGAAACAAGGCTGAGACTAACCCTACAGAGTAACAGGTTCAGAAGGACCCCTCCAGATACCCAGGCCCAGAGAGGTGAAATGACCTGCCGAGGCCACCCAGTGGGCTAAGGTCAAAATGTCAGAACCAGGATCACAGCCCCAGATTTGAGACTCTCCTCTCCCCCACCACCTGCCCTCGTCCCCAGGGCTCCTTTTAGCAGCCTTTTCATCCGATTCAGCAAATCTCCCAGAGGGAAGGTGTCCCAGAACGCCAGGTGCCACAGCGTTCAGTCTCTGTCCTTGGGGTACACGAGGGGACACATGCAGATCCATATCAGGTCGTGGACCATCTACCCAAGAAACACATGTGGCATGATGCAGCTATCAGGGGTAACCCTGGGATGGGAGGGCACCCCAGATGTGACCTGCAGCACAACATCAAGGAGCAGAATCGAGGACCCGAACTGAGGAAGCCTGTGTGGGGTGAGGCAAGGGGGCTCAGTGCAGAGCTGGAAGGCAGGGTGGGACCAGGACCAGGGGCTTCCTGAGGCCATCTATGAGCCTTCACAGGCCCCTGCAGGGCACCTAGAGAGAAGCCGTTTTACAGAAGGGTGGGGTGAGGAAAGGGGCCCAGGAACACACGGGAATCGGAGTCTAACCCCTCTGGGCTCTGGTGTGGACTCAGCCCCGGGAACCTCACCTGCCCCTCCTGCAGAATGTTCCTGAGCAGCGGCAGGTGCTCTGGGGTGAGGTCCCGAAGCGACTTGATGCCCCGGCGATGGCAGATGGCGATCAGGTACAGGTCATCGAGCTGTGCAGAGACAGGCGGGGTGAACTGGGCTCAGCAGGGGGCCAACCGCGGAGACTGCCCATCCTGGAACTGCCCCCCCCAGAAGTCAGGAAGCACCCTCACACCAAGGCCTGCAGGGCCAGCCGCCACCAATCCCAGGGACACCGTGGCCGGACCCAACCCCAGGCAAGGTGGGCGTCCACCTGCCCCGGGTGAGCGAGGGTAGTGTAAGGGAAGAAGCCTGTGTTTATTCTTCCCGCTCAAAAATATCACATGAGAGTATTTACATACTCACAGCTGATGGGGAAGTAGGGGGGCAGAAGTGGGGGGGCTCAAGAAAGTGCCATGAACCACTTTTATGGTCTAATCACATGTACTGAAGTAAGTGCTGTAAGACAGAAGGGGAGAAGAGTGCAGGAGAAACAAGGCAAGACTAGTGAGGGTGATCAGAGAGGCATCCTGGGACAGGACACAGGGGGCCTGGGTCCCCAAGAAGAGGGAGGGCGTGGGAAAAGGGCGCTGAGCAAGAGGAACTGTGAAAAGGGCTCAGAGGCATTGGTGGAGGGAGGGGGACTTCGTGTGCCTGGAGTCAGGCAGGTGAGGGGTGGAGAGGCAAGGGCAGGGAGCAGTAAGCTCCACCTCGCTTCACCCTTGTCTCCCTTCCCGTATCTACAGGGCTCATCCACAGCCCTTCCTGCCGTCCTTCCTGAAACAGCGGCTGGCCGAAGACCTGGGGGTCACAATGGTACAAAGACCCGAGGCCAAGACGACCTTGAGCCAGAACCTTGAGCCAGAGAGCAAACGGACTCTTCCTCTTGCCCAGAAAACCCTTCCTGTCCCAGTCTCCCCTTGCCCAAACCCTGGCCTTGGCCAGTTTCACATCCTCGTGTAAAGCAAGCCCCAGACACCAGGGCTCCAAGGGCCGAGGCCTGGTGCGGCTCCAGCAGCCCTCAGCTCTGCAGGCCAAGCTGCTAGATTCCTCAATGAGATAATCTGGGGACCATGAGTCACCAGGCCAAGTCCCCAAGGGCCCCAACTTAAAAAACTGGGAATGAGACTTTCCAGATGGTGCCTGACGTCCAGCTGTGCTTCTTCATGCCAACAGTCTCTCATGCCACACTCACTCGTCTCCGTCAGAGCCCTAAGAGCCGGGCTTTCTGCCCCAGACCGGCTGCACTCGAGAGCGGTGGGAACCTGCCAGCAGACGGCTCAGCGGTGCCCACCTGGGCCTCAGCTCTGCAAGTCCCTTCTGGATTCTTCCTTCTCGTGGCCTGTGCCCAGGACTCTTGTACAAGCTGAGACCCAAGGAGCAGCAGAAAACGAAGCTGTTTGATCTGGGAGTGTGTGTGTGTCTGTGGGTGTCTCCAGCAGTTCCACGTCGTCAGTGTCACGGGCCCTCCAAACAATAGTAACATTTGTTTAGATGATATCTGTTGACAAATCCCAAGGATGACATTAAGTCACACCTCTCTGCTCCACTGGCATGGAATGAAGCATGAAGCCTGCGCTGGGTGCCAGCTCACAGGCTGAGTGAGGGAAGGAAAACAAACCTGTCCTTTGACAGCAGACATGACCCCGGATTTTCCCCAAAGGGCCCCGGATGCCCAGAAAAATGATCTGGAAAGAAAAAACAGGTGAGGGGCTGGCGAGGGTCCAGACTGGCATCCCAGAAGGCAGCACATCAACCCCTCTGGGGAGACAGAGGCCATCAACCTTGCCTACTCTAAGGCAGGGCAGCAAAGTCAAAGCAACAGCCTCCTAGTGAGGGGCAAAACGGAGAACGGCTGGAGCTCCAGACAGCCATGGCTCCACCTCAGGACAGACGCAGAGACTGAGGCTCCTGCCTGCACGCCTTAGACACAAGGGTCTACATTCCATGAGCTGAAGGTGTCTGTGTGTCTACATGAACATGCACATACATCCTGACATGTGTAATATGTAGAGACCATGGAGGAGACACAAACCATCTCTTCTGTGGCAGGGACGTGGCAGAATGTCAGGTGAGGGAATGGACTTTCACTGCTAACTGTGTGCTGGTTGTACTGTTACCATGTACATGTTGGTGTTGGCTTCCACGGAGGCTCAGATGGTCAAGAATCTGCCCGCAATGCAGAAGATGTGGGTTCGATTCCTGGGTTGGGAAGATCCCCTGGAGAAGGAAATGGCAACCCACTCTAGTATTCCTGCCTGGGGAATTCCATGGACAGAGGAACCCGGCGGGCTACAGTCTATGGGGTCACAAAGAGTTGGACATGAACGAATTTCTAACACACATGTACGGGTATTAACCGGACCAATCCCTACACCCTCAAATAAGACAATGAAAAGGAATATACAGGTTCTCTCTAAAAAGAACTGAAGAAGGGATTCTCTAGTCTCCAGGGAGCCAGAATCTCCAGCAGACATTAGGGACTTGATCAATATTTGTGGGGCTTCCCTGGTGGCTCAGTGATAAAGAAGCCACCTGCAATCAGGAGACATGAGTTCGATGCCTGGGTCAGGAAGATCCCCTGGAGAAGGGAACAGCAGCCTGCTCCAGCATTCCTGCCTGGAGAATCGCATGGACAGAGGAGCCTGGTGAGCTACCAGAGGAGTCAGGCACGACTTAGTGACTAAACAACAACAGCAAAATGTTTGTGAGACAGACAGACAGATGAATGGATGGATGGACGTTTTTTAACCCTGGGCCATCAGTGAGGGGAAAAAAGACATGCTTCTGGGCAGAGCAGTGGCACGAGGGGACGCCAGGGTGGCTAGAAGTCCCCTCAGCGCACATGCCAGACCGCCCTCTCCTCTGCCCTCCTTTGGTGGATGAGGATGAAGGACAGGAGTCCAGGCCTGGCCCATCTCCCTGCTGGACACACTGCCTGATTCTAGGGAGCCGTGGGCCTCAGTGTTCTGTCACAGTCGGGGATGTAAGGCCCTTAATTGTGGCACCACAAGGAGACAAGTGGTAATGGAGCAAAGGTCAGGGACGGTCACACCTGTCCACTCAGCAAGTTAAAAGACTGATGTGCAAGCTGGTCCCTTCACAGCCCGAGGGTGAGTCACCCCGCCACGGTGTGGCTGGGACCCTGCTGCGGCGCCTGAAGCCTGTCCTCTCTTAAGGGGACAGACAGTTGGCAGTGCCCCGGGCAGGCCTGGCAGGACGCCTGCCGGTGCCAGGTAAAGAGGAGCATGGACTTCTGCTCTCGGAGCTGCGGGCACCAGAGCGTTACGGCTCCTTGAATGGGGAGGTTGCGGCTGGCCCCACGTGGCTCTTGGACCACCACCTCCTGCAAATCGTAAGGTCTTCTTCAGGAACCTCGTGAGTCCAAATTCCTCCTACCAGCGCCGCCACCTACCCCCACCTCCCTGCACCACGTGTGTGATGCACAATGGCCAGCGCAGGGCTGCCCGAGGGAGCGGACAGGATCGGCAGAGCCCCCCGGAGTCCCTATCCCAGGGGGGCTCTGGCTTCGTCCCTTCTCTGGTCCGCTGCCTTCCCTTACAGCCTGAATGGGGATCAGCTGTGGGGGGGACGGCCTCTGCACATCATCACCGAGGGGAGGGCGGGCTCCCCTGACCTTCCCAGCTCAGCACTGAGACCTCTGGAAACTCCCTTCAGATTCCCTACCTGCCTCCTCCTTCCCCCGCCAGCCACATCCAGGAAGTCCTATAAGCCGCCCCAGGAGACAGCTGGCACGGGCTCGCCTGTGCCTCTGAGCCCGAATTCTGTCCCCTTCACCCCAGCCACAGGCTCTCGGCTCCCCCATCTCTTGGCAACTGGAGTGGTGTGGCTGGTCAGGAAATCTGCCCCATCCAGCCAAAGAATGCAGATGAGCTCGGCGGAGGGTGCAGAGTGAGACAGGAGGTGTCTGCCCAGGCAGAACGGGGTGCCACTCCAGATCAGCGTCCCCGGGAGACCTAACAATGATGTGAGGAACACAGAGCCCAGAGGGGCCTGCCCAAGAGCCTGGATTTATCCGGGCCCAGCTCCAGTCTGTGTGGGCACAGCGCTGCCTGGACCCGGTGCCCTGCTGGTTCCTGTTACTCTCGGGGCATGACAGTCCACCAGGCGATAGCTAGCAAGCCTGGGGATGGGCCCCTCGGTGTGAGATGAGGGAGGAGGTGAGGAGGTGCAGAGAGATTGCAGAGGACTGGAGGGGCAGTGTGAGTGAAGACAGCTCCTGGGGATCCTGCTCCCGAAAAGGTCAGGGGAGCGGGGCGCTCAGGGCCAGGCAGCAGAGCTGAGAGGCTTTAGAGGGGCGGTGCCTGAGCCACTGGAGGCCCCCTCTGTGGCTCAGGCAGTGCAGGGGACTCCTCCGGCTGGTCCCCATGGTTTCTGCCAGCCAGTGCTACAGGCCTGCCTGGATGTGCTGCTGTCCAGGGCGTGGAGAGGGGTAAACTGTCCATCTCAGGGCTCCGGGCGCCCCTGGAAGGGAGGGTGGAAGCCTCGCACTTGGCTGATGAAGGAGTAGCCCGTGACGTCATGACACAAACACTGCCCATCCTCACCCCTAGCATGGGAGGTAAGCCAGAAGGGGCTTTAACTGGCCCACTGAAGGGTAAACATTTGTGTAGCCGCTCCCACTGCAGACAGCTCAGCCTCCCCTGTCGGTTAATTATAATCTGCTTAGAGAGAAGACACCAGCAGGAGGGAGAAGGGCAGGATTAAGGAGCGGCAGCTGGGGCGGGGCACTCAGAGGCCAGAGAGGCGCCGCGCGAAATCCGTTACCTGCTGTTGGTTCCACTTGAGGTCGGGGATCAGGACAAAGCCGTCGGATGGATCCGGGTTCTCAAAAACAATCCGGTCAGCTTCAGCTTTCTTGTCGAGAATGTTGTACACCCACTGGAAGGAGGGCAGAGAGATGGGGCTCACAGGCCAGTCCTTTCCCCAAGAGACACCCCATGCTGGGAGAGGCAGGCTCAGGGAAGGGCACCCAATATTAAAGGGGCATGAAGCTCAGGGGATCCACACTCAGGCCATCCTGTCCCAGGGATCAGCTCTTGGGTCCAGAAGAGACCTCCCCTCTCCCACCACGGCCACCCAGTGAGGGACACCATGGCCATCCCCACGGGGGTCACTACAGCTGCCCCCACAAGGGTCCACACGGAGCTCACTCTTTAAACCCGTCCTGGCCACCCCTGTGCACACCCTCTGCTGTGGCTTCATAGGCCTGGTCTGCATCCCCTTCCACTGCCCACGGGACTCTGGTGAAGTGTCTATGCACCCCAACAGGACCACAGGGCAGAGAGTCTGCTGGGAGTTCCTTTTGCAGAGTGAGCTTGCCACATGCCATGGCAAGGAAGGGCTTGTGTTCTGGAAGTAACTGTGCTGGGTTTCCCAGCCCCTCTGGGATTCTTGTGAGCATGGGTTAGCACATCTACCTGCCCTGACATGGACCCTTCAAAACAAAGCAAAGAAATGCCACACGAGAGGCAACGACACAGACCCTTCCTGCCTTCCTGTCAACCCTGGGCTGCCAGCTCTCTCATGCCCTTTGATCAGCTGCTGTCCACCGTCTTCAAGGACCCTGCCTTGAGCACTGCATGGACCCCAAGGGCATCACTTTACCATGAAGGTCCTGGTGGCCTCTCTGAGGAAGCCAGCCTGCAGCCTGGAGGTCAAGATATGAAGGCCCTGTTCTCACGGGGCTCCAACCCTGGAGCCCACTCTACCCCACTGCCCCTGAGCGCTGAGAACCCTTTGCCAACGTGACTTCCTTCCTGCCCAAAATCTGACAGTGAACCCTGCTGCATAGCCAGAGAGGGGGCCAGAGCTGGGCTCACTCAGCTCCCCCTTCTGCCCCACGGTCGGGAAGGCACTCGAGCTGACGAGGGCTGGAGGGGAGGACAGGGCACCGACACGGCCAGCCAACACGGGGCTCCTTAGCCCACTACCAGGAGTGCTGGCGCAGCAGGGTCAGCGAGAGCCAGGGCTGTCCCCCCAGCCTCCTGCGGGCTCCCTTCCCACCGCCCGCCAAGTCTGCATCCTGCACTCTCGGCCAGCACAGCCAAGGTCAAGTGCAACCATCTGATACAGAGAGGGAAGAGGCAGAGGGAACCTGCCAGGGATGATCTGGGCCTCCCAGGCCCCCCAGTAAGACCCACAGGCCAGTCACAGTAAGGTCAACCCACTAGAAAAGAGGGGCTTTCCCAAGGAAAGCCTGGCCATGCCACTTCCTGGTGAGGCCTGGAGGCCATCCTGCGGTGGCTTCTTTGTGCAACCCTGGGGCCAGAGCAATGCACAGCCCAGCAAGTTGAGAATTTCCCAGGGGAAGCATTTCCTCTCTAACTGGACATCTCTCTAGGAATGTGCCACTTGAGAAAAAAAAGTCAGTCGGAAAATAAATGGGAGGGAGGGGATGGTGGTTCTGCGTAGACAGCCCTTGGGTTGCCCAGCCCACAGCAGGCCAAGCCACCCCAGGGCCCTGCCTTCCCCCACAGCTCCTGCCTCCGCCTAAAAAACAACATATCATCTGGGGGAGGATGAATGGGCTCTGGAGCCCAACAACATGGGACTCATCTCTCACCTCCAACACTAAGTAACTGGCTGCATGCTGCAAAGTGATTTCATCTAAGCCGTGGCTTCCTCCTTCGTCAAGAGATGCTAATTATACCCACAGGTTAGGGCTGCGGTGAGGACTAAGCCAGAAAATGCTCAGAAAGGCGTCCAACACAGAGCTCTGCCCAGGGAGGCAGCGGAAAACAGAGAAGTTGCTGGGAAAGGTCAGGCTGGGCGTGCCTGAGGCTGCAAGACCAGCTGTGGAAAGGGAAAAAGAAGAGTGGATGAGAGCAAAGGAAGTGCGTTGATTCTGGGGCGAGAGAGAACCACGTGTGAGACTGGAGGGGCGCCCGAGGGCTGGGCGGGTGTGGTGTGATAAAGGCGTGCAGTGATGACGGCATCTCGGGGGCCAGGCGAGCCCGCAGGTGCGAGGATGTGCACCCAAGTTCACACAGTCCCGACCCAGCGTCCGGCCCCAGAGCCCACCAAGCTCCACGCCACCCTTGTGGGGACGGCCCCTGCGAGAGCGGGAGGGGCCTGGACTCACAGGACCGCTCAGCCCAGGCACGGAAGGAGAGCCGGGGGACGCCACTCACAGGAATCACAGGGTGACGTCACGGGGAGGGGCACCCTGGGAAAGCAAGCCCGGGAGCCTCGACACCCACGGATGACGGCGCTCTGGGGACACTGGCAGCTTCTGGACCCATCTGGGCGTGGCGGCCTCCCTGTGGGCGACGCTGGCAACTGCCCCGGGAGCCCCTCTCCTCCCTCTTCCCTGTCCTCCTACTCCTTGGCTCTGGCCGCTCTCCTCCGGCCGCCCTGGCCCCGCCGTGTCTCAGCCTCCCTGTTCCTCCTCGCAACTGCCCCCCGTGTGGACAACCGTGGCCACCCCTCGGGCGCCTCTTCTGCGCGGGGAACAGCAGCAGGCATGTGGTACGCGGCCCAGCTCTCAGCCTCAGCCGGGACCCCAGGAGGGAGGTGCTGTCCGTCACATTTTCCAGGCAGGGAAACTGGGACTCAAAAAAGTGAAAGACGAGGACTTCCCTGGTGGTGTGGTGGATAAGAATCTGCCTGCCAAAGCAGCAGACACAGGTTCGATCCCTGGTCTGGGAAGATCCCACATGCTGTGAGGTAACTAAAGCTGCATGAGCTGCAACTACCATGAGCTGCAACTACCGATCCCATGTGCGTGCCTAGGGCCTGTGCTCCACAACAAGAGGGAGCCATGGCAATGAGAATTCCATGCACTACAACTGGAGAGAAGCCCGCTCAGCAACAAAGTGCAGTCAAAAATAAATAAATAAAACAAAAATTATTTTTAAACGAAGTACAAGCTCTCGAGGTGCTGAGGTGTCAGGACGAGAGGCCAAACCCTGGGCTCACAAACGGATCTCTAAGGCTCTGGATCCAGACATCACATTGCATTCTTTTTTTTAACTGGGAAATTACAAGCACCTCAGATTTGAGTATCCAAGTAGCGTCAATGGCTAAGAGCACAGACACTGGGGCCAGGCCGCCTGGCTCTGAAGCTAGTCTCCAAAAGCTTGTTGCTGAAGATACGATGCCCACAAAATGCTCCGGACCATTGCTGTTCTAAGTCACCTCGTGAGTACCAAGACATCCCAAGCTAACTCACTGTCCTCCATGGAAACCCACTCTGCCGTCCACGCCCTTGTGCTGGTTAACCATCCTCCCATCTGCCACTCACTGCCCAAGATACCCCTGGAGTCACCCCAGGCCCTCCCCTTGCTGCTCCAAGCCAGCCCCCATCTAGGCCCAGACTCTTAATCGAAAAAGAAGCGCCCCTCTGCCTCTTCCTCCTTCCACTCTCACCACTTCCAACTGCTTCTTTAAATCTCATCAAATTACCCACGAGCTTAAAACCATTTACAGGACCCTCACTGCCTATGGTAGTCGTCCTCAAATCTGACAAGAGATTTCTTCCTAATCCAGATTTCCCAGGCCCATCCTGAGTCAGGAGATACCAAGACGTGCCCTGTGCTCTGAATTTTATAAAACCTCAAGAGGCCATGCTGATGACTGGCCAGGTTTGGGAACTCCTGGTCTCCTTGGTAAAGTGCCCACATCTCTTCCTGGGCCCTGCCTGTCTTCTCTCACTAGCTCCCCAAACACATCAGAGTCCAGCCCTCCAAGGCCTGGAGTTTCTCTCTGCTCTGGCTGCAGTGCCCTGTTTGTTCTGTCCACCTGGCAAACTTCTCTTTGTCCTTTAAGGTCCAACCGGAGGATCCTCTCCCCAGTGAAGCCCCCCAGCATCTGGGCTGACCACTCCCCTTTATGTCACAGCTGTACCTGGTGTATTAACCACCGAGGTGCTCATCCCATTATATTGCATGCCCACCTTCCATACAAGACTGTGGGGACATTATCAGTGCTTATCCTGGTGACCCTCCAGATCCTAGCACAGGGTCTGGGACCTAGGGGATGCTCAATAAATATAATAGCTATTGCCAATTAGCTCTGCAGAGTTCCAAAGAATAGCAAGGAGAGATAAGAAAGACTTCCTCAGTGATCAATGCAAAGAAATAGAAGAAAACAATAGAATGGGAAAGACTAGACATTTCTTCAAAAAAATTAGACATACCAAGGGAACATTTCACACAAAGATGGGCTCAATAAAGGACAGAAATGGTAGGGACCTAACAGAAGCAGAAGACATTAAGAAGAGGTGGCAACAATACACAGAAGAACTAAACAAAAAAAAATCTTCATGAACCACTATGGTGTGATCACTCACCTAGAGCCAAACATCCTGGAATGTGAAGTCAAGTGGGCCTTAGGAAGCATCACTACAAACAAAGCTAGTGGAGGTGATGGAATTCCAGTTGAGCTATTTCAAATCCTAAAGATGATGCTATGAAAGTGTTGCACTCAATAAGCCAGCAAATTTGGAAAACTCAGCAGTGGCCACAGGACTGGAAAAGGTCAGTTTTCATTACAATATATATTGCATCTGATCCCATCATTTCATGGCAAATAGATAGGGAAACAATGGAAACAGTGACAGACTTTATTTTGGGGGGCTCCAAAATCACTGCAGATGGTGACTGTAGCCATGAAATTAAAAGATGCTTGCTCCTTGGAAGAAAAGTTATGACCAACCTAGGCAGCACATTAAAAAGCAGAGACATTACTTTGCCAACAAAGGTTTGTCTAGTCAAAGCTATGGTTTTTCCAGTAGTCATGTATGGATGTGAGAGTTGGACTATAAAGAAAGCTGAGCGCTGAAGAATTGATGCTTTTGAACTGTGGTGTTGGAGAAGACTCTTGAAGGTCCCTTGGACTGCAAGGAGATCCAACCAGTCCATCCTAAAGGATATCAGTCCTCAATATTCACTGAAAGGACTGATGCTGAAGCAGAAACTCCAATACTTTGGCCACCTGATGTGAAGAACTGACTCATTTGAAAAGACCCTGATGCTGGGAAAGATTGAAGGCAGGAGGAGAAGGGGATGACAGAGGATCAGATGGTTGGATGGCATCACTGACTCAATGGACATGAGTATGAGTAAACTCCGGGAGTTGGTGATGGACACAGAGGCCTGGTGTGCTGCAGTCCATGGGGTCACAAAGAGTCAGACATGACTGAGCAACTGAACTGAACTGATTGCCAATTAAGCCAAGTGCTTGTAAACTTGCTAGAAATAGTCGAAAAAGAATACATGGGGAAACTCCCTGGTGCTCCAGTGGTTAGGACTCGGTGCTTTCACTGCTGAGGGCCTGGGTTCAATCTTTGGTCAAGAAACTAAGATCCCACAAGCCACACAGCTCGGCCAATTTAAAATAATAAAGAACACATGAACACTCGTGTCACACAGAAGTGGGTAGAGTAGCGGAGCTATTTCCCAAGAGGCTATGTGCAGTGGTCTTTAAGAAGGTGCATATATGACTCACTCCGAAACTGTATTAAGGACTTCCTCTCTTGAATCACATATATGTGCAAGTAGTGCAGCAAAACACACATTCCAGGACATCCGTTTCATGATCCAAGACGCTTTCTAGGAAGATGGAGACCAATTTCCTTCCTACTTAGAAGACATAGCAAGTGCTGAGATGTCTTTGTTAAAAAAGGGGGGAAAAAAAATCAAGTCAGAGTGAGCTAGAGAAGCCTTGTGCAAATCCTGTGTGGGGACCATGGCTAACAGCCTGGCCAGGTCTTCCCCGTGGGACCTCCCTCAGCCCCTGTCTGCCTCCTGTCCTTCCTCCTCCCAAGGACAATCCACCTCACAGGACCCCACACCCAGGACACCCCCCCCTTCCTCTGCGCCTGGGAGAAATGGCCATGAGCTTCCCATATCAGGACACCCTGCCCCACCGTGGCAACACTCTCAGCTGGAATACATACAAATGCTTAGGGAACAGGAGTGAGTGATAAAGAGACAGGATAGGAAAACAACTCATCCATCATATTAACTGTGAGCATGCACATGGGGCCAATTACAGAAAAGGATCTGGTTGATGCTGGGCATAGACCCAAAGAGAATCAGACCTGTTAGCAAAATGGCCTTGCGTCTGGCCCAAGGACTGAATACACTCTAAAGATGCTTCCAACCTGTGAACACAGCCCTGGAAGAAGAGGCCGTGCACCAGCCCCTCCCTCCTGATCCTGCCCCTCAGAATGGATGCAGGGGGCATAAGGGGAGGGGAAGTTTCTCCCCTGGGACTCAACTCCTGGAGACTGGTTAGCTGTAGGTGAAATCAGGAATGGGCGTTGGGATGGGGAAGGCCTAACCAGCATCTGTTTACCCATTTACAGACCTCTGGTCTGGGTAAGCCATTCTTGAGATCGCATCAGTGCTACTACAGAGTAGCCAGAAGTTCTTCCCAGGGACTGGACTGCTCTGAGATCCCAGATTGCCTCAGTGGTGTGCCCGAGACCAGCGACAACTCCCTTATCCTTGCAGGTGACTGTCCTCCGTGAAACACGACTGCCTGAGCCCAGCACTTTCTTTGCCACTTATCCTACTTATTCCACCCCACAGCACTCACAGTCTCATGTCTTGTGTGGTTACGTATACATTCGCGTGCTATCTGACGCCTGCACATGAGGTAAGCGGTGTGAAGGCAGGGAAACCGCTGGCCCCTGGGACCATCTCGACCGATGCCTGAGAAGATAAACACTGGCCCCAGGGACAGCACTCCGCGTCCTACCCGTGGGGCCTGCCTGAGCTGTGGTGGCCGGTACCTGGATGCTCAAGCTCTGGGACTCCAGGTGGGGCAAGGTGACGCTCCTGTAGTCGCTGCCCGTCTCTCGGACCAGGTGGAGGTCCTGGCGCAGATACTTCTGTAGGTGCTTCTCTGTGGCGGGGTAAACCACGGTTGTCTTCACTTCTGCAAAGACACAGTGCAGCCCCAGCCGCCGTAAGCCACGCTCTCCACCCAGTCCTGCCACCCTCCGGCCCCCACGGCAGGGAGGAGGTGGCCCCCGTCTCATCTCTGATTCCCCAGTGATGGGAGCCGAAGGCTAAGAAGTCGTGATTCACCTGTGTTCCACTCCCATGAGGTGTCTCATGCCATTAAATTCGTGAAGGTGAATCACTCCCAGACTATGGAAAACATAAGATGTTCATGGATGGATCACAGGGCCCCTCGTCATTCTTAACTCCAGCCCTTCTCTCTTACTTTCTGGGCACAGGAATGAAAGGTTTCTGACTCTTCTCACATAGCAAACGTTCCAGTGTGGCCTTCTGAACCCAAAGCTGAAAATCTGGTTTAAAGTCAAACAGACTCCCTTAATGTGGGGGGTGAAGGCACAGACTCCAGGGAAGCCAAGTCCTGGTCCTGCCTACTCCTTCCTCGGGACCCCTACCTGGGTCCAGATGTTTAAGCTCCCAGTGCCCCTACTTCCCCATCTGTCAGCTCAGGATAATAACAGCTCACGTCAGAGGGTTGGGAGGATTAGCAAGTCAATACCTGTGGAGCTCTTAGACCAACAACGTCTGACACATAATAAACACTATTTAAGTACTGGCTATTCTCAACACGGGGTTACTCATCCTTGACCTTGGCACCATCAACGTTTCAGCCTAGGTAATCCTTTGCTGTGGGGGCTGTCCTGTGCCCTGCAAGCTATTGAGCAGCACTCCGGCTTCCGAGGTGCTAGTTAAACCCTCTCTCCAGTTGTGACAACTACAATAAGTGCCTCAGACATTGCCAAATGCCCCCCTACCCCGCCCAGTTGAGAACCACTGTGTCCATCAAAAGGAAACCTGGTCATTTTCCTAAAGAGACTCCAGGGTAGGATTCTTGTCCAGCACCACCTGGTTTTGGTTAAGTACTTTTCCCTATTTCTATTAACATGTGCCGCAACAGCTTGAACGTAGATCCTAAAAGCAGGAAAGGAAACAGTGTCTTAAAAATCAGACATCCTCCCCGACGCCAGATTCATATGTGTTTGTTTGCCTGGAGGGGCCCCTGAGAGGGGGCTGCCCAGCACGGGCACTGCACACTCCAGAAGATTCTCGGGCTCGCCTACACACCTCGAGACACACCTCGAGACCCGTCTGAGAACCACAACCTACACGTGCACGTCTGGTCTGAGGATGCAGGTGAAGCTCATTCCACAAGTGAGGGAAGAGATCACAGGGACTCGGGGCTGGGGCCGCGGGGCAGAGGAGGGCTGGAGCCACGGTCTTTCCACCCTGAGGTCCGTGCTCTTTCCACCCCCACCTGTGGGCCCAGCATCGCTGTGCAGCAGGCCAGCCCAGTGCAGGCATCCAGAGGCGCCATGCCAAGCACGTGACTTCCGGAAGGACCAAAGGCACCGGCCCATCAGGTGTAGCAGGCAAAGCATCACCGTGCGGGGCCATGGGCCGACACATGACTCCCCTTCCCGGCTGCGCCACCTTGGCTGTGTCATTAACCTGGAGTCTCAGCTTCCTCATCTGTTAAGGATGGTCCTAAAATCGAGCCTTCAGTGTGACTATGAACATTAAGCAAGGTGTGTCCTCAAAACCACCAAAGGGGCTAAGTAAATGTCACCCCACTTCCTAGGAATCTCTGATCTGACCCCGAAAGGGAGGCACAGAGGCCTCTTCACCACCCTCAGGGCCCTTCTCATGCCCACCACCCTCTAATAGCCCTGGGGTCACAGGCCGGAGGTCAAAGATCAAGCACAAACAAGATCTCAGGAGGCAGGGGACTGCCTGAAACAGATGTGATGTCACCCCCTTGGCCCTCTGCAAGTAGCCTGGTGGAGAAGGGCCAGACTGTGACATCCATTAGCCAGGTTCAAATCCTGACTGTGTAACCTCGGACACCCGAGACGCCAAAGAGCAGAGGGTGGGAAGTCTCCAGAACTGCATCCCACCTGCACCCCCACAGAAAAGTCCTCCTCGAATGTCCTCAGCTTACTCCCCTGGGTCGCCTGGGTGGGGCATGGGGACCAAGGCTGTGAGCCCTGGCGCTCCCTCCCACAGGGAGACGGGCAGGGACGACCCGGATAAGAGCCGCGCCCCACTGGCAACGCACGCACTGCCTTGGGCTCCCAGCCCAGGACTCCCTGGCCATTCCAGGCCGGAAAGCCACAGGGCCTGCAGGCATGCCCGCCTGCCAAGGCTTGCCAGAGACTGTCCGAACCGCTGGGAAGGTGGGCAGACGGGCCCCTCGCCAGGCCGGCCCCTCCTGTCCTCTCCTGAGCAGCAGGGTAGAATGAAAAGGCCCCGTCCAACTGATCCCTTTCTGCCCGGAGGAGACCCGCCTTGCTGTGCTCTGAGCCCCAAAGAGCCAACGCTCCCAGCCGGGCCTCAGTCAGGCCCTCGCTGCCGACATCCGAATGGACGCTGCTCCCCAGTCTCGCCCAGGCTTCCCTGCAACCCCGCTGACAGTCCTCCTTCCCCGGGCCGTCTCAGCTCCAGCCCTAGCAACCTCCTAGCGACCTCCTCACACCCGCACTGACTCCCATCTCCAGGCCTTGAACCTGTTCCCCTGCTTCACCCGCTCAGGTCTCCATCCAAGCAAGGCACTCCCGACCTCACCACACCCTGGGATTCGCCCTGCACTACCTGACCACCGAGGCCAGGTTTCCTGTCTGATCCCCCCCAGGGACGTCTGTCTACCTGTGTTTTACCGCATTATCCCCAGCACCCAGACAGTGTCCAGTATATTTTAGGCACTCAGCAAATACCAAACAAACAAAAGAATGAATCTGACCTTTTTAGACTTTAAACCCAGGAAGTGCACTTCTTATCCCAAATGGAATAATACCTCTCTGGGGGGAAAAAAAGTCAATATATTTCCCAATGCTAAGTTTTTCACTGGCAGCCAAAAGCAAGCTCTGGTGTTTATCCAAATGACCTGCAACTGAGCTTCATGAGGAATCTGGTCAAGAGTCAAGGCCTGATAAACACTCAAACAATCAGATGAAAATATGTAGGGGAACAGGAGATTGACCCAGGGTCTCAAAAACAACTCCCCTGAGATTACTCATTAATTGCAGGCAGGGACACACAGTGACCAGAGCATCACCCCTGTGAGATGAACTGGCCGCACAGACCTCCTGGGCTGTGCCGTGGTGCATGCTCAGCTGCTCAGTCATGTCTCTTTGTGACCCCATGGACTGCAGCCCACCAGGCTCCTCTGTCTGTAGAATTTTCCAGGCAAGAATATTGGAGTGGGTTGCCATTTCCTCTCCCAGGGGATCTTTCTGACCCAGAGATCAAACCCAAGTGTCCTACACTGGCAGGCAGATTCTTTACCACTGAGGTCACTTGGGAAGCCCGTGCCATGGGGTGCCTGCCAAAATAACCTGTATCCCATCGCAAGGTGACATCACCTCCCAAACCCAGGGACACCCGACAAGTGGCTTCCCAGCTCTTCCACAGTGTCAAAGTTAGGACTGAGGGACTGCTCCAGATTGAAGGACACTGGAGACTGGACTGGATGGTGGACTGTGGAGGATGGCGCAAGGGAAGTTTCCTGCTTGAAAATGGCATTGAAACAACAGTAAGGTTAATAATGGTTTCCACATCACACCACGGTTTGGATAAATGTGAAAGTTCCCCAAACTGACCATTTTACTCTGGTTCCTAGGAGACACACACTGACATGCGTAGTGATGAGGGGCTAACATGTCTGCAACTTACTTTTCAATAACAGAGGTAATGGTGACAAGATATTATTGTATGTGTATGTGGAGAGAGAGAAAGGAAATGTGGCCATGTTTATCAAAAGGTGATAAAAAAAAAAAGCCTTTTTTTTTTTTGGCTTCACTGGGTCTTCCTTTCTAGTTTCAATGTGTGGGCTTGGGTGCCCTGCAGCATGTGGGATCTCAGTTCCCCAACCAGGGATCGAAGCTGAGTCCCCCGCATTGGAAGGCAGATTCTTAATCACTGGACCACCAGGGAAGTCCCCTGAAGAGCTTTTATTAAGGGAGTTCTTTGTACTATTTCTACAATGCTTCTATAAGGCTGAAATTTTTTTTCAAAATATAAATAAAAAGATGTGGGTACCCTCTACTCCCTGGGCACTGACTGCCAGCAGAAGTGCCAGCCACTGTTCTGACCCCTGTATGCACATTAACCCACTCACTCCCCACAGCCAGTGTGAGGCGGGTCTCACTCTGGTACCCGGGCCACTCACAGGAAAGCTGAGGCCAGGGCTGGGCTTTGGCCTTGGCACCACGTGCTGGCCCCCCGCAGGTCAGCAGATGGTGCTTCACCACCTGCCTGGCACCCTCTCTGCCAACCCCATCCAGCAAAATGACTTAAGGAGCCCCTTGCCCAGGATAAGAAGTTCCTGGCACCTCCCAGCCCAGAAGCATTTCCCAGTGGCTAGAGAAGCAACAAGGAATCTCCTGACCCTGCCCTCCTGCTGACATTCTTAAAAAACAAAAACAAACAAAAAAACCCTCTAAAACCCATTTCTCAAAAATAACCAGTTTACTGAGAGAGCTTCCCTGACAAAGCCTCCCTTTCAGCCATGCTTTTTCAAATTTGGTTTTAGTTTTAGTTTTCAGGTGTATCTTGCACATAAAAGTCAAACAAAGCTTGTTTTTAAATGTCTTCTGCTTCTTCCTGAGCACCAGTGTCAACTCTTCTGGCCATTTCTTTGGTCTCATACTTCCACAGTTCCAAATTACAAATATTTTTATATCTTGTTTCACTTTGATTTTTCAGTTTTATTACTTATTAACCTCCCATTAGGGAAGATAAGGATTTAGCTCTTTTTTTTTTTTAACCAGCTCTCAGTCAATCCTAAAGGAAATCAGTCTTGAATATTCATTGAAAGGACTGATGCTGAAGCTGAAGCTCCAATACTTTGGCCACCTAATGGGAAGAACCAGCTCATTGGAAAAGACCCTGATGCTGGGGAAGATTGAGGGAAGGAGAAGA